TAACCTGACAGGCCCTCGATCGTCGGTATTATTCACGTTCGTAAAGCAGAAGTGCACATGTTTAACGTAATAATTACGTTGTAAATTACACACTTTGGAGTGGCGGTGCACACGGCAACCAATGTGAACGTAACAATTTCGAGGACTTGCAGCTCATACATCGAGGTACAGTTCGAGTGTGTCTGTCAAATTTTCGGTTGATGGATACGCGTTGCTATAGCAATTATCTAGAATTATTGAAAGGCGATGATGTCCGTGTAGCCTAAATCTCGAAGGTTGTTAGGTAGCATTTATAGTGTCAACTGATTGCGACTGCGGTAGCTGCTGTCATGTTCTAAAGCGAGTCGCTCTTTGTGGTTATGTCGACCCTGCTTCTGAAATATTTGAAAAATTAGCCTCGAGATTTGTCAGGTATCCATGACGACCGATGGCAACATTGAGTAATCAGCTCAGGTCAATATTGAAGACACGTGAAATACACAACTTGAACACTTCCAGTTTGAGGACAGAAGCGTGGACATCATCGGACAGTCCGACTTAGATGGTTAAAATGTGCCTTAAAGTGTACGATCTACACGATTCTGCCTCGATAACACAACCGTCTCTGTGCTTTTAAATGGAAGAAGTGTGTTTAGTATTATAAAGTCCTATCAAGACGGATTCTCCCGTCCTGCCTGACCCGGGCTCCAGAGTACTTCTGAATCAGCTGAGTACGTCGGCGGCGGTGACAAATATTGCCGGTCTTACAAGTGAGTACTGTTCATAGCTGTTTATTAGCATTTGCGAGTGGAATGGAAATAAAGAGCCGCGAAATAGCAAGGACCACTAATGCCAAATATATACATATATATATGAGACCGTGCTCTTTGTTGACGCTGGCAATCTCATTTCGCTCCTCCCGTCATCACTGAAATGTGCAAGCCACATTCTATTCTCCTAACCATGGATGTATAATCTGTTTATACCTCCATGTCCTAACTAAGTCTTGAAACATCTATATAAACAACTTTTTTTTTTTTAACGTTTATAATAGTGTAAAGTTATACAATTTTTGAGCACAGTATTTTAAGGAATTTGCATGCTGGACACACTGATAAAATATGATTTCATTATAATTAAAGCGCGGTAGTCGTCGCGCTGCGCATGTTCGACATTTGTGTTGATAAACATTGATTTTCCCACAATCCAATGCGCTCTGCAAATGGAAATCACAAGTATGAGGTTTGACCTGGGCGCGACTTGCACTGATTACCGCCGGTGACTCTTTCGATACCTTCCAATCACATGAAAATTACGTAATTAAAGCTTGGAAACGTGTCAAGTCCGTACTCGTTGATCTGCGCAACAGTCAAAGTCGCCAGGTCTTTGTTTATATGAGACCCATATATCTCGCACATGCGCAGCGCGACGACTACCGGGCTTTAACATAATTCTAAGAGCCCCCCAAAAAC